CACATCCAGGTTTTCAGTAATGATCTGACTGGAGGAAAAAGCACAGCAGGTATGGTGATTGGAGAATCACACCTGTACCTCAGAGTGCCATTGCCACAGTGGACTGGCTCATGCTGGGGCATTGCTTTCTCACCATTGTCAGGTAGCAGAGCTGGCTCAGAGTGATGCTGTTGTCCTTTTCAGCCTTTAGTTCATTCCAGCAGCCATCAGGAGCTTGTGCAGCTGCTTGGCGGAGATTGAAGTCCCACAATTTCTTGTCTCGGGAAAATTCTCAAATTATGTGTTAGAAATATATTAAAGACAGCATTGCACCCATAAGTGGATTATTTCTTGGAAACAGGTCAAACTGTGTGTTAGAAACCAAGAAACAGAAGTTTCTGAAGACAAAAATCACAAAGTGGAACTTTCATTGCTTCTTTCTGAAAAGTTTTCTGCTTTCATTTTTACAGAATAGGTGTCTGTAGCCAAGCCTGTGGTGTGACTCACCTTGCTGTTCCCACCAGAAACAGATCAGGCAGGACTTGTTTTCAAAGTGGTTCTTTAGACCCTTGAGGTGCTTTGTGTCCTGTTAGCTCTGAAGTACCCAATAGCCTAAAACTTCCATTTTTAGAACAAGGCTTCCCTGCACAAATACCCCCTTCTCATAATACTTTTTCCCAACAGGGGACTTCCCCTCAGATTTAAGCCTAAATGAAAATTAAGAAGTCTTGTTGTCTTATAGCAAACCTTCAAGAGGAAAAATAAAACCTTTTTGTTTTTGAGGAAATATGTTTAGATGTTTGCATTGCATTTTTGCTTTGCACCGCACTCGTTGCAGTGGGTTGGCTGCATGCTGCATCTTTCCAGCTCCTGCAGGGTTGTTGCTTAAGCAGGCAGTGTTTGCCTTACTCTGAGGTTTCAGATTGAGGTAACAAGTGTGTGTGAGCAGCAGCAAGCTGCTGGCAAAGAGACACGTGGTAGCAGAGGTGTTCACTGCCCTGGTGCCCAGTCAGAGCTCCCTGTGTGCGGGGGAGGCTGATCCTGCACACACCGGCTCTGCTGCACTGCAGGAAAGCCATCGGTGCAGGGTCACTCTTGGCTTGTGCTGTCTGTCAAACAGCTCTGTCATCTTCACCTTAAAAACTCCACACATGGGCCTGAATAGAAGAACCTGAAGTATTTCCTTTCAGGAGCATCTTCTGTGACGGTTCCTCCCATAATCAGTGAGCAGGGATTCCTTCCATAGCAGCCTCAACAGTGACGCTTTACTTCCTGGTATTCTGTAGTTGTTGGCTGAAATGATACCAACCTTTCAAGCCATAAACACATCACATTCTTTTACCAAAAAATATTGCCTTAAGAATTAAGACCTTGGTATTTTGGTATGTTCGACATAGCAAGTCATTAATATATATTATATCTAACACAATTGTATCAGAGGAGGAAATTGCAGAAATGCAATTAAACATACTCACTAAACACTGAATTTGTCTTTCTTTTTGTACTCCTACAACATCCATTTCTCAGTATTGTCAATATTTTACTTTACCTTTGTGATCGCTGTTCACTATTTACTTGCTGTATTTAGAACTTTTAATCAGTTATTAGAAATTTGAAAGATCTACAGGAATGATAAAGTGTGAGAAGACGTGAATCAGTTTCAATTTCATTTTGTTCTGTGCATGTATTGCTGTCATTGTTAGCAGACATCCTCTTAGCTTACTGCACTCTGCCCACAGTCTAATCTGTCTTGAAGAGTCAGACAGCAATCTATGAAGTAATTGTAAGGATCTTCAAGTGTCTTCAATGATCTTCTGTACTAGGACTACAAAAGCATTTTGTTGTTGATAGATAGAATAGGCGCAATAAATCCCATTGTTGTGGTTCCTAGAACAGCACCTATTAAAAAGGAACAGTCTGGAAGGCAAAGAACGTGATAAAAATTCATCACAAGTGGACTGAGGAATAATGCTGCTAGTTTTGACTGCATCACCTGGCATCACAACAGCTGTGGATTTCAGCCTTGTACGGCAAGTCACATATGGTTAGCTCTCTTTCTGCCTGGAGAGCACAGTTTTTTCTGGTTGTGATGCTCTGCAAGGCACTGCACTCTACTCTTCTGTGGTTTTTATTATTTGGCAAAAATATATTGCACCTACAACACTGTGCAGCTATAAGGGCATTCATTTTTAGAGTGAAATACAGCCTTATTGGCCACCTCTTGAAGGACCCTGCCTGCATCTTACCTCAGAATTTCATTTTTCAGAAGACTCTCAACTAGAAATGTGCAAGCTGAGTTTTCCTTTTTCAGAAGACTCTCAACTAGAAATGTGCAAGCTGAGTTTTCCATTTTCAGATGTTTGAGTTATTAAAAAGCAGGAGGGGATTATATGGCTAATTCTAGCTCATTCCCACCACAGCTGGCTTGCACCTTAGTCAGTAATCTTCCCTCCTGCTCTCTGGTCTGCAAAGTGTGCTGCCCCTGGCATGGAGGGGAGCTGCTGCCTATGCTGGGGATGTTACTGGGGGGTTTGTGTTAAACTGGTGCCACTATAAACTGACCCTGGCCACTTCCAGTTGCTCTTCCATCCCACTGGCAGACCCTGATCATGTTGTTTTGCCTGACATAAAGCCCTCTGGCTGCTCTAATGTAATCCATTCCCTCAGCTAATTCCCAGGTTGTTTATTATGGGCCCCATCCAACACCCATGGAAGGCAACACAACGTTCAGCTGCCTTGGCAGCTGTTGGACTGGGCCTATGAAACAAGGACTTTTTTGCTATTTTCAGGGCATGAAGAGCTTGGATTGCTTAAAAACTGTACAGCATGTTTTGATCAGGATGAAAAGACAAAAGGCAGTAGAAAAAAATTACCTTTGAGATTGCATCTTCCACTTTTCAAGTGTTTTGGAGACACTTTGGAGGAAAATATATTGTTTGGTCAATGTAGTCAACCAAGCCCTTGAAATTGTCAGGAGATGGATAGACCCCCATGGAGCAGGGTTCTTCACCCTTCCCATCCTCCTGTCTGTGAACAGGGAAGCCTGTTCTCCATGAACCATGTGGGCAATGTGTTTAAACAGGACATATAGTTACCAAACTATGATTCCATTTGTTTTTTGCCTTTTTTCTCTTATATGTTCTCTGTATTCTTCACACATCTATTTGTAACTCTGTAGCCTACTGTATTAGTGACTAGTTTTCCCAGTACTTTTCCACGGCCTTTCCCTAGACAAAACAAATTCCAGAACTCCAAGTCCTTGGGGCACAAGGCCCCAGTGCTGTCTTGGTTATTCCTGGGAACCAAGGCTGAGAGTGCTGAGGAGAAAACTCCAAAGAAAGGGCTTCACCTGAAGGAAAATTGCATCACCACTTGCATGTCCTCCTAATTGATGCTTTTTATCAATTATGCTAATTTCCTAAAACCCTTAAAATGTATTTACCCCTAGAGGGGGTAAACTTTTGTGGACATCTTTCCATAACTGCCCCTGAAGGCCTTCAAATAAATATCCGCTCTTATATTACCTTCTTACTAAAATTATGTTGAGTTTGATTCCCAGATTGGGAAAAAGGCAACAACTGTATGCTACCAGACAGCCATCAGTAAATCCTGGAGACACAGATGGATCTAGGATGGATCCTGTAGTTTTTCCACTTGAGAAGTACAGCTTTTTGGTCATTCTGGTCCAAGAACACAGGAAATTAAGGAATCAATCCTGCAGCTGCCTTGGGGACTTCAAAGTCCTTGGGGAGAAAGGGACCTTCCCACAAGAAAAAAAAGTAGCATCAACCTAGGGGAACCTCAGTTTCTTCTTCACAGTGTCAAACAGAAGAGACAGTAGATTAGCTTCAAATGGTGGCACATTTCTCAGTAGCTGCTTCTGTGATGTATCAATATTGTATTATTCATTGTCTTTTAAAGTAATGGTTGAGGAAGGACATTTTATTAAATGCTCATTAGCCATTCCAGTCATCATTATTAAACCCATCTCTGGGCCAGAGACTCCATTCTGACAACAGTGTGAATCATGTATAAATTATTTTGCAATTCTACTTTAGTTATCCATACATCATATCTTAGTTGTGACTGTCATTTGCGTGACAAATTCTCAGGCGGGTTTCTGTCAGTAGAGAAGGGCTTCCCACAAATCAGCATGATGTTAAGCTTCCAGTAAAACTGATGTTGCCTTTTGGAGCCAACACACTCAGGCTCCAAAACTTAAAACCCAAAGGCATCCATCATTAGTAAATGTGCTGCACAATGTGATATGTACCAACTTGCCTCAAATGAATATAATTAAGGTGATTTAACAGAGAATGTATCCAATAATACTTTTTAATGGTTAATTTAAGGGAAATGAATTTTCAATTTCATTGCCTGGGTACAGAACACAGTAATAGTTTGAGTGGGGGAATTCACTGTTGATAATATCTCTTCAGATTTTATCTTAATTTTGAAATAAAATGGGAATTTATCTGTGCCAAACAGTTTCTGCGTTGCTTTCTGGTTATAAAGATAAATGTAGAACGGCTTTGGAGCTACTGGTTTCAGCGTACCCTGCAGTTGCACCTTGATCCCATTTTGGAACAAGACCAAGGGAACACAGACCTTAGTACCAGTCTGGCTTCCACCAGAGATACAGAAATTGTGTCTCATTAGGGCAGGTCCTCAGGATGACTGGGGTGGAGGGTGTGCTGCAGTACACGGCTGCTGTTAGCTGTACCTTGCCACAGCCATTGCTTGCCTCAGGATTTCAAGGGCAAAACAGGATGGCAGTGAATTCTGTGTAATTACTGTTCTACAGACTGTCAAAAGACAGTTTAATCAAGATGTAGATTACGTTTATTAATTTTTCCAAAGTATACCTGTAGTTCTGGACATTGTCCAAGGTTTTGGTTGATACCCAAGAGTGAACTATCATCAGAAAGCTCAATATACAGCATACTGTTCTTCTACAGCCTCCAAGCTAATCAGTATCAATAATTAATAACAATTCATATGTGTTTGTTTTTGCTTTGCAGGTAATACTTTAACTCCAATATGGGAAAGCAAAACAGCAAACTACGCCCTGAAGTCATGCAGGATTTGCTAGAAAGTACAGACTTTACAGAACATGAAATCCAGGAGTGGTACAAAGGCTTCTTGAGAGACTGTCCAAGTGGACATTTATCTATGGAGGAGTTTAAAAAAATATATGGAAACTTTTTTCCTTACGGGGACGCTTCTAAGTTTGCAGAGCACGTATTCCGCACTTTCGACGCCAACGGAGACGGAACAATAGATTTCAGAGAATTCATCATAGCCCTGAGCGTCACGTCGAGAGGAAAACTGGAGCAAAAGCTGAAGTGGGCATTCAGCATGTACGACCTGGATGGGAATGGCTACATCAGCAAGGCAGAGATGCTGGAAATTGTGCAGGTATGTGCTGCTCCCTCCCTGAGAGCAGATTGTGAAGCAATGTTACACTGAATGAAAAACTGGCAGTGCTGGTTTACAGTCTTCTATAACTGCTTGGATATAAAATGCTATTTCATTTGGCAAAGATTGTGTGACAATTCAAACTACAGCTTAATATCCATTGCAAGTTCTTCCTGAGCAACAGGGTGCATGGATATTTCCTCCCTGGGAGCTCTGTTGGGCTCGAGCACAGTAACTAACCTACTAATAAATGTGATTCTCTAACCCTGTCAATTAATTATGATTAATTGCAGTTGAACCAAGTAGGTATACTGGAGCAACCAAGCAGTGTACTTGTAAGGAAGGCAGGTTCCCTCCACAATGAGAAGCAAATCTACTTTGAAATCATTGTTATTATGAAGAAGCAGCTCAGGTCACATACTGTAAAGGTGTTTTGTCTGCCTAATTCCAGTGAGGTCTGCTTTATTAGAATCATATTAGCTGTCTTCATTCTAAGTTGACAGTATAGATAAATCTTATCTGAGTAGATGATGATTCCATACATAGCTTCTTTGGTTGTGTTTGCTTGTGGTTTTAGTAAGAGTCCCACGTTGCTTTCTCCAACATGTTTTTGCCCTTGAGGCACATCAATCTACTGAAAGATTTCAAACATTTTTTATATGGCAGTGTATTTACCCAGCTTGAATCTGTATAATGCTGCACTGTTAAAAAAAAAGCGCCTGTTATCAAGATCCTTTCCTTTCCCTGGAAATTTTGAAGTGCTAACAATGTACTGTATTATTCAGACTTGTATTTGCACTGAAAACCAAGGGAAGTAATGCACACAAATTACAGTCTGTGATGGCCAGCTGCATGTAGGGAGTGAGCCTAACGGGTGGTGCTCCTGTCTTTCTACCAGAGCCCTTCTCAAATCCTTCAAACAGTGGCCAATAGCAGCACTTGCACTGCTTCAGCAAGACAGGTCCAGAATTCAGCTGCAAATCTAGAGTTTGTTGTCTTTCACTTGGTCTGTTTTGTGCTCCCATGTCTGAGTTGAGGAGCAGGACCTCCCTGTCTGCGCCGTGGCAAACCCCATGGAATATTTGCATTGGAAGATCCTCTGGTCCTTACAAATCTTCCTCTCCCCCAGGCAGGGTAAACAGACTGTCAATTATTGTTTTTCTGGCTGTATTTCTCCTCATGAAAAAACAAAAAGATTCCCAAAAGAACTAATGTAGTACATGGGAAACACCGGAACCAGAGCTGGGTGACCGCCCTCTCCTCTGGAGGAGGAGACACCCCCGGGGCTCTGCTGTCCAGGAGCCAGGAAGGCACTGTGCTCACAGGCAGCACAAACCCCTGGGCAAGGGAGCTGCAAACAGGCAGAGCTTGGCCACAAATTTGTCCGTGTCAAAGGAAATGAAAATATCAGTGGCTGGGTTTTCTGTAGTGAGCCAAACAAGGACCAGCAAAGCTGGAAGCTTTTGCCAGATCTGCTTGCCAGCAAGTCTAGAGGCTGAAACGCTCTGCCTCCTCTTCGTATTTATGTCAGTACCAAATCACAGCATTGTCCTTTACAGCCATGGTGCCATCACCAAACAGAATTGCAGCTTTGGGGTCAGTGTAGGGCAGCATTCTATCAGTGTGTGCATCCAGTGCCAAGCAGCACTTGGGCTGGGCACAGCCCCCAGCCTGGCACTCCAGCAGTCCCTCTGCCCCTCTTGGGAGATTTGGCTCTCTCTCCTTTCAGACTGAATGTGAAGCTCAACTGCATGGTGCTCATAATTTCACCTCATTTTGAGGGACTCAGCTTTGGGGACCACACAAAAAGCAATTATGGAAATGAACAGCCTGAAAAGCGGCTATTTCTGTGCCATGGACTATCAGCAATTTTTAAACTACAAACCCTTTCTGTGATGGAGCAATAAGGCAGTGTGCCTGTAGATCTCACCCTGTTCTCCTCTTTTTTTTTGTTTTTTCTGAATGCATTGGTCTCCCTGTATTGCACTGGTCACCAGGAGTTCCTCCCAGTGGGATGGGATTTGTTGTGTAGTCTCTGGAAGCATGTTCAGCTGATATCTGAAGTAGATGAGCATATTTTCTAGCTTTGTTGAGAAGTTCCTTTGATGTAGAATGATTAGATGCAAAAAGCCAGCAAACAACTATCACTTTCATTTATGAAAGATTATTATTTTTTCATATGGAATGACAAGACTCTGTATCCAATGGCTTCCTGGGGGCCCTCAGCCATCACAGTTTTTCTGAGAGTGAACATCAGAACTCTGACATATCTCTATGTCTCAAAGGAACCCATTGCAAGTCCCTTATCTAGCATACATTTTCAAATTGATAGAATGGGATTATGTTTTCATTGGGATTTTTCCTGAGACAATACATCAAAATGAATGCTGAAAGAAACACCTTTAGTCTAAAAGTCTTAGTTTAACAGAAAAATACTGTCCCTGTTACTGTGGGATTACTGTATTTTAAATAGCATAGGGGCAAGGCAGTTTCCTTCTTTTTCAGTCTGCTTTTTTTGTGCTTTGAAATCCGTCTCTCTGCAGTGATTTTCACTGTTGTGCTGATGCTTCCTTGCATTATCTTTCCATTGTTCTGGCCTAATCTGACAGCCCTGCAGGCATTGCACTGCTGCACTGCATTAAGGAGGTTGAGGCAGCAGTGGCAGCAGCAGCCCTGGCACAGCAGAGCTGCTGGTTAGGATGTCCCACAGGAGCTCCTGTGACTGGGCAACTGCCAAGGAGAGGAAGGTGAGTGGTCCATGACAGCTTTCCCAGGCCTGTTTTCCTTGCTGGATGGCAAAGCACCTGCATTCCTTTAAGTCCTGTACCCCATCCTGCCCTCAGCCAGCCCAGGGCACTGCCCATGCCTGTCCATGAGCATCCCCAGGCCAGGCTCCAAATATCCCTGCTTAGACATCCACATGGAGCCTGCTGCACAGTTTGGAAGATGAAGGACTTTAGTGGTGTGCTGACAGTTGTAGAGCCTCAAAAAAGAAGGTCCACAGGACACTGCTACACTCACCAGGCACAGCACATCTGCAGACTGCTGTGGGAAGAGGCTTCATAGCCTGCCCTCTTGACAGACCTTGTCACAGCTCCTCTCAGATTCATGTCTCAAGCTTTTCATGTCTCCCATATGTTTACCTATAATCTAAATAGCCCAGTCCACTCAAAAATAGCTGCAAACCAGTTACAAGATTTGTTCCCCTTGCTGAAGCAGGACATATTTGGCTAGTCTCTTAAAATAAGAGTTCAAATGGGACACGGAAACCTTGCTCTAAGGATACATTTTTTCACTATATGGACTCCAAAGGCATTTTAAGAATACTGAGCAGAGACAAAAATAACACTTTCAGTTTAATAAAAACAGGGCACACACGTTTCACTTGCTGGATAGCTTATTGCTTATAAGCTATAGCTTATAGCAAGCCAGGATGAAACAGAAGCTGGTATGGGAAGAAGCAAACGCTGGTATGGCTCTGGAAAGGCAGTGTCAAAAATCTCCATGACATTGAGAGGAAAACAATTTTTTTCAGACAAGTCATTCACTTCATGAGACTTCTGGCCATTAGAATTTATTTCAAAAGGGTAAAAAGGATCAACTGAAAATGTGTGCTGTCATTGCTGCTGCCATCACCAAAATGAGCTTTTTGCCAGTTTGCCAAGTGTACCAAGGAAAATGCAGCCCTCACCAAAGCTTCTGGCCTGAGTGCAGCAGTGGCAGCCAGCAGCTGGGAGCAAAACCTGTGTGAATGGGCAAAGGGATGAGACTGCCCTGAAATCACCCACTGCTGTTCATCCACATGGAGCTGGAAAATCAAAGGAGATCAGTAGGGCAGCAGATGAAGCTGGAGCCTGTGCTTGCTCGGATGCCCAGGGCTCTGGAGGCACAATTCCTGGTGGCATTCAGAGTGCCAGGGAGCTGTAAGGAGCTCTCCTGACAGAAGTTCACTTACTGAAGCTGCCCTGACTCAGTAGAGTGCTGCAGGCATCAGCTTCCAGTGCAGAATGCCACTGGTGGTTTTCAGCCCAAGTTCTGGGAGGCCAAGAGTTGCACTCCATGTGGAGTGGAGCCCCTGCAGCCTCTCAGGGCCAGGTCCTAGCCCAGGGTTAACACAGCCCAGCTCTGTGTAATTATTGCATGAAACCAAATTCCCTTCAGAGCTTGCTCTTTCAAACATACAATAAAGAGTTTTGTGTAGCTGCACTGAATTAATATGGGGCGAATCTCAAGGTTCTTAATCAGCTTTAGCTGGCTTTTACTTTGGGAAAACTTCCCAATGAACTTCTGAGTAAGGACATAAGAATTTGTCCAGAGTAACCATTTTCAGCATGAAAAGAACGCTCACTATGTTATTCCCATCTGGCTTTCCTAGAATATCTCATCTGTTATTCCCTTCACACGCCTCTGTGAAAAGGACCCTGTAGGATGAAGTCATCCTGAAGTGCTTTTTTTGTCCTAAAAATCTGCATATTCTTACTATGGTTACTTTGATCAGGGTAAACATGCCCTCACTCCCAGTCTGGGGCATTCCTCCCACACTTTCAATGCAGATTCTCTGCTTTGCTGTCCTCTCACCCAGAGAGAGGGAGTGACCCCTCCACCTCTCTTCCTACCCCAGACAAAAGCCAGACAGCTTCAAATGCTTAAACACTGGCAGATTTATAAGCCTCATCTCTGCTCTCACCCTTGCAAGCCTTGCATGCTGATGAGGATGAGCAAGGTCTAAATTCTTACTGTCCACCCTCTCCATTTCTTCCTTCCCTATTGCCTCCTTCCCCCAGTTCCCCCATCCCTGTGTTTACATGCTTGCATGTTCATCCTTTCTTCTGTGCTCCTGGTATGAGTGTCATGGTGGTGTGGACAGCATCCCTGCCTCTCCTGGGGCTCTGCCCAGTACTCTGGAACACTAATTCTCCTGGGAGATGTCAAGGGTGAGCTGTTGGCAGAGGAGAAGCCAGCAGGATGGCCAAGGAAGGGGCTGCTCCCTAGTCTGAGTGTAAAATGTCTGTGCTGCTTGGTGGCATCCTCCATCTGTGCTGTTACATTCCTGGAGTCAGTCCTTGGGGATCCTAAGCCAGATGATCTGAGCTGCTAGGCAGACTGACTTCATGAAGGGAAAGAGGGGAGAAGGGTAACCCAATGAGAAATCTTGGCTTGCACAAAGGACCTCCCTCCCAAAGCAGGAGGAAAGGAAGAACAAATCACTAAAGCAGCCAGGTGACAGCTAGTGAGTTGCAGTGGGCAGCACAAGGGGCCAGTTGGACCAGGGCAATGCTGCCTTGGGCTGGGATGTGCTGCCCCTCCACATGGCCACCACCCTGCAGCCCTCTGAGTGCTGCTGCTTCGAGGTGTGGCACTGCAGAGACACCTGACACAAAGCCCTGCTGTTTCTGGTGCTGCAAGCTTATGTTTGCCAGCAAGGTCTGGATAACCAGTGCAGAGACAGGTCCTCATCCTTGTTTTAAAATTAACCTTACCCCTCTGTCAGGGGCAGCTGGTACCAAAGGTGGCTAATGCATTTGTCTGTGCAGAGAATAGCTGTGGGTGGTAGTGGTGCTCTGTAGGACCAGAACATCTGGTCTCTGTGGAGAAAATTGTGGAAGGGATTTTGAGCTGTGCACGCACACCAACCCCCTGTGAAAAGGCCACCTCCCTGATGGTCTGGTCTTTTTTATCTGTGAGATGCTGCAAATGCAAGGAGGCACTGCTCTCCCCACAGACAGGATGCTCACAGGGAGGGAGAGAATGGAGATGGGGGAGAAGCAAAGGCAGGATGGGGAGACAGGTGTGGTGAGGATGAAGCTGTGTGCCCAAAGCATAAAGATTCATCACAGCATGGGACAAGACCTGGGTGGTCTGGCTGTTCCTCCAGGCTCTGGAGCTGCCATTGCCCAACATGCTGTACAGGTGATAAATTTGTCCAAAGGCTGTTTTAATAAGGAACAATGTCCAAACTCTAGTGCAAACCCACATGGTGTTTGCCCATGACTAAATAAAGAAACACAGTATTCCACAAACGAGTGTGCCACTGAAGAGGGAAGCTGCACCTACTGGTGCCACCCAACACCCTCCAGCATCAAAGAGCAGGTCTTGCTGGTGCTCCGAGGACATTTCTGCCTGGTTCTGTCACGAGAGGATCATTGTACCCTTGCATCAAGATGATAATGTGCTTCTCATCAGGTTTTTGCTGCTGTCTATCACACAGGCAATCTACAAGATGGTTTCTTCCGTGATGAAGATGCCAGAAGATGAGTCAACCCCGGAGAAGAGGACCGAGAAGATCTTCCGGCAGATGGACACCAACCGTGACGGTAGGCGCTCCCAGGGCCACAGCCTGCAGGGCCAGCACGGGGCGGGCGGGCAGTTCTGCACCCGGCAGGGCTGCTCTCCCAGGGATTTCCCTGGCTTCCTTCCCTCGTGCCTGTCCAGAGGCTTGCCAGGTGTGCTGCAGCCCCCAGGTGCTCCAAGTTAGCGTGTTTCTTTTCCAGGAAAGCTCTCTCTGGAAGAGTTCATCCGCGGCGCCAAGAGTGACCCGTCCATAGTCCGACTCCTGCAGTGCGATCCCAGCAGTGCCGGGCAGTTCTGAACCCGTACTTTGGATGAATTATCTATCTGCTTTTTTTTTTATTTCCTTGCCAAACAACATTCATGGTAGTGTTGCCTCTGTATGGCCAATTATGCCTTCATTTGTGGCATCTTATAGCTTATTTTGTTGTGGATTAATTATAAGAATGCTGAATTGCTCTTAACAATTTGTCCAGAGCATGGGCAGTACTGTTCTAAACAGATATTGTGGTGTTACCATTGTTTTTAAAATTTCATTTTGTTTTTTGTTTGTTTGTTAGTTTGTATGTGTTTTGGAAAGTAACATGTTGAGGAGGAGTAAACCAACAACAAACCCCTTGGCAGCAAGACACACTGACAGATTTTAGATTGCTGCTTTAGTTGTTAGGTATTCACCTGCAGAACCTGAAAGTGTAGTAAGGCTGAACCAAAGGGGTTGTGATGGGTGGGGTAGGATTCACCTGGAACCTCCTCTCCTGTCCAGAAGGCACCAGTTAAGATCAAAGACAGGACTGGGAAGAAGTATGAAAGTGCAAAACATGTGGGGTGTATCATTCACTCCTCTGCCTCGTTGTTTCAATGCTGTGAACACTTTCCAGGTTGTGAAGAAGGGACAAAATGAAGGTTGACTTTTTTTACTAGGTTTACAGTGGTTGAAGTCATATGGCTTTATCTGAAAATTCAGCAATTTGCAATCCTGATCTCCAAATCCACAACTGACAATACCTCTTGCCGTTTGGGATCAGCAAAAGCAGACACAGATATGAAAAGCTGGGTCTTGACAATGAATTTAAGGGAGATACATGTTGAATGTGAAATTTTCAGGTTAGTAATAAAGCAGTTGCTACTAGGGAGAGTGGGCATTCATGTGAGGAACTCACAGACACCTGCAAGCAGCTCCAGCTAAGGCACATCTGCTGTTCTCAATGCTGTTGCGTAGCAGGAAGTTTTGGGGGTGTTTTTGTCTCTCTCCATGTAGCTAACAGAGTTTCTGGGCCTGCTCTTAGGGGAAGGCTGTCATCAAAACTTGTTTTAAACATAAAATTGTAGCATTTATATTTCATTTATTTTAGTAAAGTTCAAAAAAATCTGTACTGAAATGAGGAAATGGTACGCTTTATGATATATTTATATATATATAAAAATTAAAACAAAAAAAGAACAGCTCTTGAGAGAAATGTTGAATGTTTATCTTTCCGCCTAGGTGCAGGAGTATCTGAAATTTGCTGCTGCAAAATTTTATCCTTTGGTCAAAGTTGCTGTATGCAAAGCTAGTATACACATGTGGGATTTCTTAGGGACTTCACAAGCGCTGTTGCAAGAGAAAAGCTGGAAAAGCTTTAGCAACAGGAGGCATTATGCTGACTAAATTGGCATTAATCAGACATTAGCTGAAGTCTGCTTTGTGATCCTGCTGGAGAGCGACCCATGCAGGCAGGCACGGTGTTGGGAATGCATGAGCTCGTTAGAGTAACCTTTGTCTGACAGGCAAAGTTGGCATTTTGTCAAGTGACCTTGTAGATGCTAATCCCCAGTAGCCTTAATTTAAAATAAACCAAGTAAAAGAAGTCTGCTTTGCAGATGATGTTTAGCTGAATACTAATTAGAAGTCACGAATAAGTAGTTGAGCATAAATAATCTTCTGTGGAACACTAGCTAGCATGTACAATAATTGACAGAAGCAATCCTATACTTAATTTTCCCATACCATTTGCTTTGCGGGGTGTTAAGGGCAAAGCATTTTAAGAGAAAATAAAAGTAAATTGAAAATAACATTGTTAATCAATTGTACTAAAATTTTTATGAGTGGCTAATGACACTCAATAAATGTCTTCAAGCACACATTTTTGTCTCAAACAATCACAAAAATCCAGTTGATGATATATTTCCATTACATTCATCAAAATACTGAGCTGAGCTGAGCTGAGTGTGGGAAAATAAGAAAGCAAAGGGGGCCCAGCCACAGACTCAAACAGATTTTAATACCCAGCACTTTCAGGTGTTATGAGCAACACTGGCATGTTTTGCACCAGTTTTTCTGGCTGATGAAAATATTCTCTATCTCCTTCTCCCAAATCTTAATTGGACACCATGTGCACAAATCCCCTTCGAAGGACAGTCTGTGCCTACCTTTGTCAAGGTAATTTTCTGCTTTACCTGGAGATGTTCTGGCCCTCTCTTCATGTCCATCACCTCATGGATTTTGAAAGTCATGTACTTGAGGGTTGTTTTTCAGCAGAAGAAGCCTGGCCAGACTCTGGGGACTGCAAAGGAAGGTCAGTGGGCATGCAGTGATCGGCACACCCCTCTGCCAGATGGGCATGCCACCACCCCAGCCTCTCTGGGGCTGCTCCATCACCACCCCTGCGTGGGCAGGACAAGGTGACACCGCAGGATCCCTGCTGAATTTCCAACCTCCTGGCTCAGGGCAGGCACCCATGTCCAAAGCAGCCCAGACTGTGGAAGCTGGCATTTACTGAAGGTGAACTCGGATACCTTCTACGGTTCCATCTTCTTAGTGCTGTGAAAGCAGCTGCATGTGACTGAAGCTTTAAAAAGGTTGCCTTTTCTTTAAGTGACGGCATTCCACCTGTTTTTCATTTTACAAGGCACTTCTGGCCCAGAACCTAATCTCTCCATTTGTTTTTGCTCAGCAGTTTCAGGGTGTTTCGGCCAGGCTCACCTCCTGTGCTACTCCTGTACAACGCAGGTCTGAACGCACAGCCTGTGCTGTGACCCCAGCAGACATGTAATGCTCCCCACAGCTCACAACATTTGGAATCATCAGAATTAGCTTACAGCTGCAGAGGACATAGCTGCAGATAAGGCTATTGTAGAAACATTTACAGAGTGAGCTAGGGTTATTCTTTTACCTGACTGCCACTGATGATTGGTATTATTTTAAATTATTAACTATCCCTTTCTTTCTCTGCCTCTGCATGTACTTAAATAGTGATTTGTAGCTGAAGTTGTGATAGGTACATTTGCAGACCTCAAATCAGCAGGACAGCAGTGGTGTGCTGTGCCTCAGACTGAATTTTTCTGCTTTGCTGTCATTTGCATTTGTAATCATAATTGCCTTCATAAAGCTTTTGAAGGCAAAGTGTGAATAGCACAGTAAGTCAGACTTTTGAGTGATTCATTAGCAATATCTCCACACAGGAAGGACGGCAGACAGCACATGCTGTTTTGTATGACTTCTCAATTTTGTAGATGCATTCTCTAGTTCTCACATATGCACAAGGCATTCTTCACTATGTATTGTCCAAAGGGATTAATGAGCATATGTCACATGTAGACTGAACTCATGGAAAATGCCAGTCTCATTTAGCTGACATTCCCAGCCAGCTTGTCAAACTCTGGGCCAGAAGATGAGGAGTGAGGACTATGACTTGTGAGTTTTGCAATACTCTCCTTGCTTTAGGGTGCTTTGGGAGGGGAAAAGGGAACACAACCCTTTTAAAATCAACACACATGTTCTTGTGAGCGCTTAGAGTTTGAGAAGGACTGAAGAAATATTTATGTTTCAACATTATTTGAAGCCCTGTCAGTTCACAATTCAATGATGTTCCTGAGGTACCCAGAGCTATGCTGTTCCCTTGCAGTTCTTAGGAGCTTATAGGATTTCTATCTTCTTCCTGGGGCATTCTTTTTGTTCTGCATTATAAGGCATGACCTCCACATTTTCTGCTGCTTAAAACAGTAAGCCAGAAGTATGTAAACTTTGTAGCTGGAGGAGGTCTGTGTGCAGAAATATTGCACACCAGCACAGGAAGCAGTCACACATGCCCAAGGCGCTGTGGTTTGAGCACTGCCCCTGGGGGATGAGCCCAGGGCTTCTCTCTTTGCTGGTGGCAAAAGCGCAATAATGCTGCTTAGCTTGATTTTCTTTCACTGCAGGTCAGGTTAAGTCACATTACCTTGCATTGCTGTGGGCAGAACCTTGTCTCAGCTGGCTCATGGAAACTTGGTGAACTGTGGTATCTTGGTGCTGAGCCTAATCTGCAGACTAAGCTAAGCTGAGAAGGTGGCCTTGGCCATACGTCTCAGTACATGTGAACCAGAGAACACGGTGACAACTGGCAGGTCCCCGGGGACATGTGGCAGTGAGGAGGGAATCTCCTGCCCCAGAACAATGCCCTGAGCTGAGCTGCCTCCTCCTTTTAAAACTCCCCCTTTTTTCAGCACCACTGGTGTAAGATGCAACATGATAGCAATATAGCAGGTGAGGATGGAGGAAGCATCCTTCAGGAGTTTCCTTTCGCAGTTTAGCCTACAAGTGCCAAGTGAGACAGTCAGACTGGTCTGATTGTTGGCTGGACGAGTCTTCCTGAGCACCCAGTACACCAGCACGTCCCTTCATCTTCCCTATGGTGCTCCCTCGATTTCCAGGCATGGCAGCCCTTGGGCTCAGCAGTCAGATGTCAGGTACCTGGTGCAAGACTGGTGGAGAAAAATATTTCACCTGCCCTCTGCATAAGTACTTGGATGCATTCTTTGCTCTGTGTCTCACTAAGCGGGATGTCATGTAGGAGTCGGAAAGTGGGGAAAGTTGGTTTTCTTGGCATCACAGGCAGAACCTGCACTTGGAAATGCAGAGAAACTTGTCAAGTGCCAGAGGGCTGAGCAGTGCTCAGAGCTGCATGCAGAGTTTTCCACTGATTGTGCAGGAGGCAGATAAGATAAACAGCAGTGATACGTCAGGCACATGGTGCGATGGGTTTCGAGATAGGGCTTGACTAGAAATGGCACCTTCTATGTGAGCAGCTCTGTCTGCTGCATATTCTGTCAGAGGTGCTGGCAAAATACACTCCAAAATTAAGGAGCAGAGCTGTTCACCATGCCCTGGCAGGTATTGAACAAACAGCTCCCAGGATAAGGTTTTCCCTAAGTGCAGCTGAGGACAAACCATTGCCTATGGGAGTTCATTCCTGGTCATGGTGGAAGACAGGAGAAGGGAAATCTCCATTGACTCTCGAAGCCCAGGTGTCATTTTGCAGGCTAGGGATGGTGGAATGAACATCTGTGTTTTAAATACATAGAAAAGACAGCAGGGACTGTAAACTGGCATAGAAATCAGTGACATTAGAAACCAGAACCACTGCTGAGGGACTGCAAAAGCCAATAGGTATCTCTGGCCATCAACTGGATACACAGTCAATCTCCTTACCCCTTGCAGAAAATATGTCTGCATTCTATGGGAATCTAAACAGCATCCCTTATTCCATCCTGGCTTTTGCTGCAGTTGTTTCCAAATTATCCATACTAAGAAGTTGTTTCCAGGGTGAGGATTTTCAGAGGATAAGGTATAAAGCTTTCCAGCTGTACTGTCCATATCTTAACAAGCTGGAAAGGCCAGATGCAAGGAGCTTTTCATTGTTTCCCACAGATTGTGTTATTTCAATGTGTAGCTGGGATTAAGCTATCACCTGTAAAATGCTGTCTAATAAGAAAAACAAAGAGCTTGAGTTGTAGTGAACAATGTGAAAAGACTAGAGAAATGAAAAACTATGGGGACATCCCTGCCTGTAGCCCAGGGTCTGAATTTGCACAGTGAAACCCTCTTAGCAGTAGCCAGCACAGAAAAGCTCCTCTACTCCAGCCAGTCAATGGTACCTCCTGGGCTACTTCAGCCCTGTGTGGGGAGGCTGGGGACTCTGGGTCCTGCCACAGACATGGCCATCTGACATTATCAGGCAGGCTGAGGGCTCCCTACATCTCCAGGCACACACCAGCCACCCACCCTCTGCACAGTATTCGCTCACTGTGCACCTGAGATGTTTCAGATCTTCCCCTCTTGCCCTGACCTTATACCAAAGATATTCTCACCTTCCCAGGGCATGTGCTCAGGGTGTCCAGCTCTCCAAGTCTCTGCAGCCACCTCCCAGTTGCCATTCCCAGCCTCTGTGTGAACAAATAACAAACACCAGCCCTTGACATGTGGAGGAGCCAAGCTTAATGCACTTAAATGGAGCAGCTTCTGATTTGGTTTCCCATCTTTGGCCCACCTGTGAGTACCACACTATTTATTTCTTATCATTAAGTAATGGCAGTATTAAACATTTTAAGGGCACTCTGAACCTCTGAAACAATTTGGTTTTCATGGTAGTGTACGTGTTTGTTGAGGCACTGCAGACTGAGCGTGCCTGGGCTGCTCTCCCCTGCCCTGTTTGCTCCACAGAGAGCTGGTTTCTTCCAGCAGCAGCTCCTCCCCAAGCATCCCTGTGCAGTGTGCAGGTGCCCCAGGCCTGCAGGAGCACCCAGGTGCTGTGGACCAAGAGACAATTTTGGCAAAGTTATATCAAGCAGAAACTCTTCCTGCTATCTGTCAAAAACGAGTGTTGGGAGTGTGGCCTCTGGTTTTCTCCTGCCTGGGGACAGGGGTTCCAGCAGTGCTCAGGGCTGGCCTCATGTTCCTCACCAAATGGGATGGCAGGATGATGGTGGTCAGTAAACCCCCCTGAGAAAATCCTCTTAGATTCTAAACTTCATTTGTGCTGCTCATTGGCTGCACTCAGAGGGAACGTTAATTAAGGGTCCAGTGTGGTAGTTTGGGGGAGAACTTGCAGTTCCTTGCCACCAGCACCTTTTTATTTCCTGTCATTATTCCCATTTCCAAGGCAACCAAATAGTTTTTATTAGTATCCGAAAGAAAAGAAAAATCACATCCAGGGTTTCAATCCAATAAGGATCTAAGGAAGGTTACTAAAGACATCATGCTCAATGTTAGTCATACAAACTAATGTTTCTTTGGTATTTTGTGTTTAATTTTCTTATTCATGTGGCAGACATGTTTGTGATTTATTTCATTATTTTGGATCCTCTTAGATTTAGCCCTGCTGGTCCTTCAGCTCTTATGCAGAAGTCCCAAAGACCCCGGGAGCAGAACTGACTGAGCAATTACCAGTGAGTTGGGCACATGGTGCCTGGTAAAAATGAAGAGCTTAATTACCTTAGGGATTTTATTTGTGTGCACACTTGCTTCAAGGAGACAAATTGAGCTGCATTGCAATATGTTTATCTCTTCCACTTGCTCACTTCAATTCCAAGCAGTCTTGTAGTTAATAATTGTATATTCAGCATTATTTTGCTCTTGAACCTGAAGTGACCAATATTGTCTTCCTCTGACAGGATACTTAATACCTTCTGATTTTAAATATTGCTGAGTGATGTGATGGATGCAAAAGTAGTTACACATTTGTGTGCTGGCTTTGGCTGTGATATAGTTAATTTTCCTCACAGTAGCTAGAATGAGGGTCAGTTTTGGATTTGTGCTGGAAACGGTGTTGATAACAGAGGGATGTTATCATTATTGCTGAGCAGGGCTCACATGGTGTCAAGGACTTTCCTGCTTCCCACCCCATCAGCAAGGGAGCTCAGGGGGCACAAGGGAGATGGGATGGGACACAGCCAGGACAGCTGACCCCAAGTGACCCCAGGGATACCCCAGACCATGGTGTCATGCTCAGCATGCAAAGAGGTAGGGGAAAGAAGGAGGAAGAGGGTGACAAGTTCAGAGTGATGTCATTTGTCTTCCCAAGTCACACTCCCTGTGATGAAGCCCTGTTTTTCTGGGGATGGCTGAACACCTGGCTGGCCCAGAGAATTGGTGAATGAATGCCTTGCTTTGCTTGTGCATGGGGCTTTTGTGTTCCCTATTAAACTGTCTTTATCTCAACCCATGGGTTTCTCACTTTTGCCCTTCCAATTCTCTTTCACATCCCACTAGAAGGGAGTGAATGAGTGGCTTTGTGGGACTTAATTGCTGGTTGGGATTAAATCACAACAATTTGTTTAAATTTGGGCAGGTATTTTTGATGCTGCAGAAACTAATAAATTGAGATAAAACATGACCAAGAGCTGAATGGATCAAAGTGCCCAGTTCCTATTTAGGTCCATGACCATTCCACAGGGAGAGCTTTCCCTGTTCCCTCAGGCTGTTGCCTCATTGCAGCACAGAACAGACACAACAAATCGAACTTGTAATGATCTACTACGAGCAGACTCACTGCAGCAGCATGGAGTTCAGTATATCCTGTGTCTTGGCAAAATTAGATACCTCTCTAGATCTAGATGAATGCTTTGTAAGCAAACCTACATATCCTAAGGAAGAATTTTACTATTCAGAAAGGAGAGAGACAACTATGAATTAAATTAATTTGGTCCACATATTTTTCTTACAGCTGTCTAGAATTGAAAGTGTCCTGTGTGTTGTTGCCTCTAGCTGTTGTGATGTGTTAATTCCCCCCCCTGGTTCTGTTGTAAGCTCATCTGGTGGTATCCTGGGTCTCCAGCTGGTTCTCTGCCAGGCAAAGCCCATGGGAAGGACATGTGGAGGCGAGTGGCTTCCAGGCACACCAGGGGCAGCTTTTGGGGACGTGGCCCTGTGCTGCTCCGTGCTTTGGGAGTCTGTACCTACAGAGCGAGTCAAACATGCCTGATAAAAGGAAAGTAGATGATCAGGCCACCAAAGGAGACGGAGAATTTGGCGGAGGGTTGTGTATGTTTTGTGCCCCCCAGCACGTGCACGGTTCCCCCAGCTATTAACTTCCAGTTAGGACCTTTCCTGAGCTCTTAGTGTTAGAATAAAGTTTTCTTCTGCTGATAATGTATTTGTGTTATGCAACGTACTCAGAAAACAGAAAATTATCTCTCTATGACTGTCCTCTCCTCTCGAGAAGCTCTTCTCCTCTGTACATATGATATGCAGAATGTATGGGAGTCTTACCAGCGTTGGTTTGCATTTTTAAGACTGTACTAATTAATGTGTGATACTATTGTGTTTTTGTAGTGGCATCTTTGATGTAAGATGTAAAAACTATTTAAATTTTTTTTGTTATTGTTCAGCTTTTAGAGATAGCACCAAGGACTGCATGTTCACTAGAATCAGCCCTTTCCAGGGGCTGCCATAGCTGCACGCAGGCACCGGTGTTTCACCCGGCATGTAGCACCTGCGTTCCTCTCTTAATAGGGGTCAGTTTGGAGTGGAGATGAATTCTTCCTGAAAAGTCTAGTTTTGTCTTTCCCTCTCTCAGTTCAAGCTGTGTGATTCCCTCCCACGCTGTGTGCCAGCCCTGGCCCCAGAGGAGACCTGGGAGGAATGTCCCCTGTCCCGGGCACCCCGCTGGCATCGGGCCCCCTCACCCCGTGGCTCACCCAATGCATTCTCCTAGGAACGTGGTTTTCCTTGGAACTGCTGGCTGTGCCAGCACAACAACAGTGGGCTCACATTGCAAGACAATTTGTGCAAGTGACTTTAAAATGAATTAACTAAAATTGAGGGGAATGAAGGAAAAGAAGAGCCTGAGCAGCAATTTTAGGATCAGAATCTTATTGGGGTGCTTAATATAAGAAGAACTTGGGGCCAGTCCCTATAAGGTAGGACCATTTGAATGGCTTAGGTCTACATTTCTTGTCAGGTTTGGAGAATGAAGTGGGGCTCAGATCCAGTCTTTCAGGCAGGGTTGACTTACTGGATAGACTGAGTCTGAGATGCTTCTCCAGATTGTGTCGTGGGCCAAAAGACAAGACATGCTGCAGCTTAGGAGTTATTTTTCTTTCAGGTTATTTTTTTTTCCTTTTTAATGCAGAAAGCAGTTCAAACTGCACCTGGCAAAATGACTGACTTCAAAAGCATGTTTTTCCTTGTTATATAGACACTCACAAAACAGCATTGTGTGGCTAAAAAGGCACATTTGTGACAGTTTCTTTCTGAGTGCCAAAATATATAAGCAGTATTGTTTGAAGGGAAATAAAAATTTTTTTACTGTATTGTTATTACTGTTGAACAAATATATTGTTTTTAAATGTTAGATTTTGAAGACTTTTGTATTGTAAATTGTTTTGTGACACGGTGCTTTTTCATACTGGAATTATTGATTGCACCTAAATATTAATTATTGCTTTCTTATATAAATATGTGACCTTGAACAATCTTGATGAAAACCAATGTGTGGTGGATACCAACAGTTCAAAAAAATTCACCTACTGAAATCCCCTAAATGTTCTTTCCTACTAATAAACATTCTGCTGCAGCTAGTGATGATGTGCCGTGTGCTTTACTCCCTTCATGGTGGAGCCCTAAAGCCTCATGTAGCTCCTTGGTCTGGGGAAAAAACCCCAGAGAAGCCTTTGCCTGCTGCCTTCACTGCCCTCCTGTCCTGCTCACTGCTGTGGGCTCAGAGTCAGAGCTGTGCAAGCCAATTTGGAGGGCTCAGCCAGGGCTGGAGCTGGGCACGGACACTGGGCTGGCACACTGCAGCCGGCTGGGTGCTCCACTGCTAACACAGATTTGTTCCAGCAGCTAAAGCCAGCAGCTGGGCAAGGAGTAGGACATCATGGAGTGGGTTATAAAAGCAAAGGAAGGACAGCACAAAGTTGAGAGCTCTGGTACTCTGAAGCTGGAAAGAGTAGCTTAGCTGACTGACAGCAACTTTCCCTGCGATAGATAAATCTCTCTCCAGGTTTAGAGGAGTTTTTTATCCCCTAATGATAAGGGGATAAAATGATAAGCATCAAGGGAGCAGGATGTGCCAAGGGAGCATGGGCATGTAGCTGTGGTTAGTTGCTCTGAGATGTGGCTGGTGAGGCAGCAGCAGAGCTTGTCACAGCAGGGACTCCTGCCAGCCTCAGACAGGCTCTGGAGGGGGCTGATGCTTCTGTGCATGCTCCTTAAGCTCCCCAAATTTTCACCTCAGTTAAATTTGGAGCTGGGATTAGCTGAGTGCAAAAAGTAGTTTAAAGCCTACTGGAAAGTAACAGAAACCAGTGCCTACTTCCTTTTCAGCTTAAACAAAAATGCCTATTTGTGGAACTGCACATTAATCTGAGCTTGAGACAGACTGGAGCCTGAATGAAGCATCAGTTGCAGTATTCAGGTATCTCCTGTGCTCAGTGCAAACTTTATTACACAAGTTTCCAGTGTGCCAGACTCCCTGTGATGCACATTCCCCCCCCCCCCCCTTAAGGGCCACGATACGATTTAGCATAAAAAGACTGGGTATAAGGAGTTGTTTATTTGTACAGGGGGGCTAAAATCCTCCACTTACCACCCTTGCTGTCCCTCCTCTCGCTGTGCAAAGCCATCTGCCCCAGGTGCTGGAGCAGTTGCACTCCCACAATCCTGGAGTGGAGCTCCCACCTCAGGGAGGAGGGAACTGTGATCCTGCAGCTCATGGCTCCATCTGGGAAGTGGCGTGCTCCAGAATCCATCAGTGTTTTCTGCAGCACAAATTGAGCCACGAGTCTGAGAAGGTGCTGAAAGGGACAGCTTTGCTGCTCCAGTGAGTCCCCAGAAGTTTCAGTCAGGAGCTAGAGGTGGAGAGTTTTGCTTCCTGCTCCTAAAGAGGGGTCAGTCCTTCTCAATGACCTTTAATCAAGGTGACCTGAGTCACCTTGCTGGAGCCTGGCTCAGCCATGCCAGACACAGCCCAAGCCCTGAGCACACAGTGGGTGCAGGGGCTCCCATCAGCCCACACACTTCTCCTCACCCCTCCATGGCCCTGCAGATGGAGCACTGCCAACCACACAGCTTTAAAGCATTTGCATCCCAAGAGCCACTCAGTAAAACCACTTCCTATAAAACATAATTGAAAATCTATCACAGGCAGTGCCCAGGAAATGTGATTACCTTAAAGGGCTCCATGGGAGCTGATCCTGGCTCACCCTGCACTGCTCATCCAGAGCACTGAACTCCTGCACCCCACTGTAAGACAGGGCTGTCCTGCTACTGCCTGGGGAATCAACCTTTGCTGAGGAAAATGCTTTCCCAAGCAATTTCTCACCTACTAAGATGTTCTCACCTCCTGAATCTTGTTTGAAAAGCCAAACTGAACTGGTAGAGAATAAAATGTTTGATGAAAATGTCTTACTGCAAGATATGTGGCCAGGTATGCTTCAGTGCTTTTGGAGTAGGTGTGGGTAAGGATCTCAACTCAGGTGCCCAGGAGTCACAAAGAAGTTACTGTCAGTGCTTCCAGCCAGGTTCCCAGGACACTTCAACATGTCACAGAATCACACAATAGCTGGGGTTGAAAGGAATTTCTGTAGTTCATCTGGTCCAATCCCCCTGCTCAAGTAGGGCAAACAAGAATTGGTTGTCCAGGACCACGTCAAGGCAGCTTTTAAATATCTGCAGGGATAGAGACTCCACAATCTCTCTGGGCACCCTACTCCAGTGCTTAGTCACACAGTAAAAAGCATTTCCTGATTTCAGAGGGAACCTCCTGTGTTTTAGTGTGTGTCCCCTTGCCTCTGGTCCTGTCACTGGGCACCATTTACAAGAGCTTGTGACTCCATCCTCTCTGCACCCCTTCAGGCACTGGTACATATTAATACCTCCTGGAGACATGTAGTAATACACACCACAGCAACAGAAATATTGTCTCATACATAGGAATATTTATTTTTTTCCTTCTTAAAAATGTACAAAAAATAAAATAACTGTATTTACAGCTTATCAAACCCCTCTCCCAGTTGCAACACTATTAAGTTACATGAGCTAATTCTTAATATAAAAGCACACTATTTATACATTAAGTTTCCTTGTTTGCCAGAAAGACGGCTTGTCACAACCTTTGGCACAAACATTCTTGTTTGTATCTTGTCTCAATTAATAGGAAATGGAAGAGCATATAAACATTTAATAAGCTTTACATTTTATAAGTCATAAGATACTCCTTTCCAGTTCCATCAATATACAGCATCTCTGACAGCTAGAGAGTTTAGATTTTACTAATTGTTTGAATTAATTTACATTTAAACAATTCATAGAATGAAAAAAAATATATAAGAAAGACATTTGATCTCTGAATTCCATTGACCAAAAACTTTGTGAGAGAGGACACACATGAAAAAAACCCATTCTTTTCTTTGTAGTTTACACTCAGTGTTAGAAATCCTCCAAAATGTCTTGATGGGGTGATCACAGTACATCCACAAAACTTCACTCAAGGGATGCACTTTATTTTGGGAATATCAGCACCTGACTGTGAGAAAGAACTAGAATTTGAGAATTTGAATGGGATTTCATAATAAAACATCAAATGGACGGACAAAGTGCCAAATCTGCAGCAGGAACCAAAATTAGAAGTTCTCCTTTTATACATCGCTAGAGTTTTTCAAAACATAACATCTACAGACACTGCATTTTCTTCATAGGGAAAATGCACTGAGCAGCAAGCCACTCTTCAGGCTGTACTAATTAAGATTCAAGATTGCTGTCTTGAAGAAGAGAAGGAAATGAGAATTTTGTTCCTTTAAATAAACAACCACAGCAGTTCCACAAAGAGACAAAGGAGGCAAGATAGATATTCCTGTCCCCTGCTGAACAGTAGACAAATCCTACTTCCATTTAACTCATAATATTTGGAAGACCCAGCATTAATCAATATTTTTTTATCAAACAAAAGCAACATGCATATTTTAAACAATATACATGTAAGCACTGTGTACTCCTCAGGATATCTGAGTCAAGCAGGGCACAAGGCAGCCACTGCTTCAGAAGTTTGCATTACTCATACCACTCTTGCCCCTTTCCCACTACCCTGATGGGCTGATTTGGACCAAAAAGGTGAAGCCTGAGAGCTTGGAGCTTGCCACAAGCAGCATCCAAGGTTCAGTGCTCCTCCAGCAGCTGATGCTACAACTACAACTGAAGGGGGTGCAGCACGGATACTCAGTGCTTGTGAGGCACCTGCATCTGGAGCAGAGAAACAAAGGCCTCAGAGCCTGGCAGATAAAGTAAAGGCTGATCATCCTTACCTAGCTCTAGTTGTGGTTTTAAAATAATCTTGCCACCAATCTAGGCACCTTCCTGATAACTTCACTGAGACTGTAAGAGGAACTAAAGGCAGGAGTATTAGCTTTCTACTATCAGGAATTTGCACACTTTAGGATGTATTTAGAATAGCTTTCAGTTAATCTTGGAAGCAACTTTCCTTTTCTGGACAGTGGCTGACTGAAAGCTCCTAAAATGACAATGGAAAACTCCTTAACTCCCAGTATTCCTGAAGCACTGCACTTCTCACTGATCCTACACTGCTCCTCATCACAGGATGCTGCAGCACCCAAGAGAGCTGTCCAAGCATCTTGACCAGCTGAGAGATCCCAGATGATATTCTGAGGATTCCAAACACCAACAGAGAAATACAAGAACTGACAGTATTGCTTACCAGTCCTGTGTGCTGGTCCCTAATGCTTCCTGTATCAACTGTCCTATTTTTTTCTTTAAGAAAAAATTATCTGGGATAAGTCAGCATAGACTTTTTATCTCAGTCTGAGCCAAGTAGAAACAAACAGAACCATCATAAATCTCTTGTATTCCCAGATTGTTTACTCTTGAACAGCATAGCAAGAGCATCTTTTCTGGAGTGCATTTTTATATAAAGTTAAGCAAATTACAACAAAACTCTGCAGCAGAAGGGGAAAGAGTGCATGACAAAAGAAAAGGGCAGGAGAAAGACAGAATACACACTTTGCTTTACAGGCAAATGTGAATTCTGGGTATGTTAGTGCTGATGCTACCAGCCTGAACCCTTTATAGTTTCTGCTCCCACAGAAACCTTGACATGTACTTAACATTTCTATTAAAGGAAGAGATTTTAATGGGATGCTACTGCTAATGATGTTAAGAAAGTGTTCATGAACTTACAGGACAATTCATGCAGATATGGCCAAATTAGACTGGTCACTTATCCCAGCTACTTTGCTTGAATGTAAATAGGTCCACACATGAGCCCTGTAAAACATGGCAGTGTTTCTTTCTGCCATTAACCACCAAATAATAAAGGTTGTGTAACAAAACGAGAAAAGGTTTTAGAAAGAAAAGAATAAACTCTAAAGGCTGCATATAGGAAAGGACCCCACTTCTGTCTGTCACACAGGATCCATGCACAGTGGTAGAGAATAAAATGCAACTGAATCTCATGGAATTATATGCTAAGTGAGGAGCTCTCCACAACAGCCAGAGGAGATAGAATGGAGAGAGGGAGATGCCGGGTTTGGATGTCATAGGGACATTCAGGCCTTGAACCCCTTTCC